TAGAAGATTATGGAGCATAACAAAGGATCTACGCATCATCATAAGAGAGCTTTCTTCCATATCATTAACAAACTAATCAATAATAATCGAAGTAACCATGACAGATACTAATGTTGCTGCTACTAAGCCTACCCTACTCCGTGCATGGTGGTGAGACTCCATATCAATAAAATTTTCTTATTTAATTTGGAAAAGTCCAATTGAAACCCTAGGTGTTTAACTTTGTTTGGTTTTTGGTTTTTGTTTTTAGCTTATTAATTGTAATGAATAAAAAAATTAATAAAAAAATTTTCTTAATTAAGAATTTGTAATAAATCAATTCGGATCCGGCGGAGAGTACCATAACAGAGCAAAATTTATATTTTGTGGGTATAGTTTGTTCATTATGTATTGTCGTGGATTTTTCCACAAGACATTCTCGTACTGAACTAGTTTTCAACTTATAGATCATATTCGACGGATTTCATTATGTTTTTGATTCCTCAGGCGAGTTTTCGCAGTGGCTTTGTCATGTACACAACACTGTAAATAGAAGGTAAAACTGAAAGGAGAGTAGTGTATTGAAACTTTATAAGGATCTGAAATGAAAAAAAATTGAGAACTTATAATCCATCATGTGTGTGATTCTAAAATTGTTTGCAGTTTGGGGAAATTGGTGTTCCCTTGTGGGAGAGTGAATGCAAGATGGGGCAAGTTAAGAGTGAGCAGAGAAGTTGTGCTCTTCATGGAACTTTTTCTATATATGGACTTTTTAGACATTAATAATTTACGATTTTGGACCCATTTATTAACTACTTTTTTTTGTATGGAAAAATTATTCCAACAAAGTAAAAAAAAAAAGAAAGGTTATATTGATCAGTATAAAATCCTCTTTACTAGGAAGTTTGAAGCAAAGAAAGACTCATAAAAATAGAGAAGAAAAAATTGATAGTGATAAGAGGAAAACTGGTTCGAAAAAATAAGATTGTTAAAAGAATAAATATTTCTCCTGATAAATTACGAACAATTTTTTCGTTGAAGGAAAATGTAAATTTTCTTTGGGAAAATTGGCTTGTATACCCAAATCTTATTGGAAATTTGAAATCTATACCAAATTTTTTACACTTTGAAAAATACCATGTTTTAAGAGTTGAAATGACAATTATATCCTTATTTAACAAGATTAAGTTAGAAAAGAAAATGATTTAATTTTTCTAATTTTTATTTAAAAATTAATTTATAATATTTAAAACTAATATATAACCATCTATTGATAATCTAATAATCTAATAAAAAAATTTCTTGATAAAATATCTAAGGAATTGATTTTAATTAATTTTAAAATTTACAATTTAATTAATTTATATAATAATATGTCAAACAAAAAATTAAATCAATGGTTTAAATAAGTCGACAAGGTAAAAAGTCAATCAATCAAAATATAAATCGATGGTTTAAAATAAATCGATGAAACAAAATTTTAAGTCAACGAATTAACAAAAATAAGTCAGTGGTTTAAATAAGTCGATAACTTAAAATGTCAAGCAAACGAAATATAAGTCAACAATTTAAAATAAGTCGACGAAACTGAAAATTAAGTCGACAAAAGTGAAAAATAAGTCAATGGTTAAACAAGTCGACAAAGTAAAAAATCAATCAAACAAAATATAAGTCAACAGTTTAAAATAAGTCGACGAAGCTGAATATTAAGTCGACGAACATAAAAAAATAAATCAACTGTATAAATAAATCAACAAAGTAAAAAATCAATGAACCAAAATATAAGTCGACTGTGTAAAATAAGTCAATCTTTATTTTTTATTTTAATAAATAATTTAGCTTTTANANATTAATTTACTAACAAAATNTTTTTA